ACCATGGTGTTTTTGTACAGACAGCACTTCAGACAGCAGTATGCTGTAGTCGGCAATCTTCCGTTTTGGTATAGAGTGGGACAGGGAGGGGGTGATGCTACTGTAGTCGAACGGTGGGACGGACGTGCAGTTCAGTTTTTGGGCACGCATAGGGTGCTGCAGGGATTTTTAGGTGTACCTCTTCGGGCGCTTGGATACCTTTTTCTCGTTACATGTGTGCGTGTTCTTTAGATCCTCAGATGGCTCTAGCACTTTCGTGACCACGGGCTGAGAGTCTTTTGCTAGATTTTGGCATTTGGCAACTGACATACGGTTTAATGTGAAGACAACAACGAACAATCTGCATGAGCAACGAACAAATAAGCGCCATGTGAATCTTTTTTTTTTAGGAGTCAGGCTGATATTAGTAAATATGGGAATATGCGCAATGTATGCGAAAAGGTCGCAGAAAAAAAAAGTCCAGTGGCGCGTGGCTTGTTTATTTGCTGTGCTCATGAGGATGACGTGTTGAAGAAGAAGACCGCGTGGGAATCGCGATATCCTCACATTCTCTCAGGTATCTTGTGTGTTGTTGTGTTGGATTCTATACGAGGCCATACCTTTTGATGGAAGATACCTCATTGAAACTACCATGTATCCTCTCGCGATTTCCTAGCGTATACACAACAAACTTCAGCTTGATCCGGGAAACTTTTTTCATTGTGCTGATTTTCGTACAGTATGGGATACATCCCCCCACAATTGAAAATTATGTGTTCTACATGTACCTAGCAACAATATTTGTTCTATATGAAATAACTCCTAGAAACTACTCCAAATAAATCCGAAATTTTGTGCTGAATTAATTGGAAGAGACGCAGGTTTCTGTTAAATCAACTCAGCTCCGAACAATTCCGGCACCTGCGCTTCCTATGGTGCGATAGGAGCGGCCGCCAAACATGAAGTCTAAATTCGTAGAAGCAGCACCGTGGGACGTAGAAGACGAACGTTGGGTTCTTGGTCAGACCAGCTTGTACATAGAACTGAGGTAGATGTCAAGATCAAGGTTAGTATTCAAAGTTTCGAAAGCACCGAAAAAGCGGCGACAGAAAGGGTGTGGGAGCGGCTTGGAACGACTAGAGGCGTTCATTGCTCCAGCACCGAGTGATCAGTCGAGTTCATGAATTTGTAAGTCCACCAACATCGGAGATGAAGTTGGACGAAGACCGACCACGTATTTGCGGTTTGCGGTCGTGGTGGTGCAACCACCCTCGGTGACTTAAACCATGGCTAGCCGCTGGGGACCGAGCACATCATCATCGTCTGACTTCAGTAGTTGTGAAAGTACGACGCATCACGGAACGCTGTCTCGGCACTATCCTGCCTCCAGAATCAACTACAAGACAAGGAATTACGGCAAATGTGCAAGTGGAGGACGAGTAGTATCGTGGATGATGGACGAGCTATGAACGCGCCAAGCTCCGGCATGAAAGTGTCGCCCTTTGAAATAGGACATTGTGCTGCCGTGGCCAGGGCAGAGCCCGGCGAAAACAAGCCGCCCTCTCATCACACGCCGTAGCTGCAACAGCACTGCGAGATGACCCTCGCGTTTGGCAAACCGCGTGGTACGTCCTCAAGCTGTTTCCGTGAAAGAAGAAATATGAGTGTACCCCGCTTGCTTCATTGAAAAATCCCGTGGATGAGCGAAGTCACCAACGGAACACTTGCACGAGCCCCTTTTCGCACTCCGCGCACATAACCATACCCCCCTTCTCAACGCACACGCGACGATATTTGACGCCTATGACCCAAAATCAATCGACCGAAATTCACCTCCGAAGAAGCGAACAGAAAACCGACAGCGACATGTCACGCGATACGGAGAGACGGGGGAGAGGGGAGTGCGACGAAGTAGCGATTTGATTGCTCCCAATAAAAGCAGAAGACGAACAAACGTTGCCGCACGCACAAGAGACAACCTTCCCCGCCGGGCAAAACACGCGTTCTAAAAAAGCCTCCACAAAAGAAACACCCTGAGTGAGGACGTGCTCCTGTCTCCATGTGTCCACCCAAGCTCCGAGCGAGGAAAACCAGACGGGATTTGACCCCCCAGTCTGGTTGACCTGCCGGCGCTTGCGAGGACACCGAGGTCGAGATCCCTTAAGCCTTGGGAAGCTTGGACGCAAGGGGGCCAAGGAACTTGTCCTTCTCCTCCTTGGTCTGGAAGCGTCCGTGGCCGTACTTCGACGAGGTGTCGATGAACTTGAGCTCCACTTGCTGAGGATCGGGGGGTAAAACGAGGACGCGATTTGCGCACGTGGATATATTACCGGCTTAAGCAAAGACGGATATCCGATTTGATATACAAAGCAGTAAAAAGCAAAGTATCGAAAAAGAACATTACACAGCAGTACACCGGTTAAACCCTCACCCTAAGACACAGGGCACTACCACCAGCTCTTTACCGGCTAGTCTCTAGGTGAGGCCGAGACAATGAAAAATATACAAAGAACATACGTGACACCGAACATCGTACGATGGTCGTACGACAATGGAGAAGGTCAAGGGTGGAGCCCAACAGCAGAGGGAAATAAATCGACTAAATTATACTGACCTCGAGGTGGATGCGGCGGGAGTGACTCATGAGAGACTTGCGCAGGGTGATGCAGCGCTTCTTGCACCCGATGACGCAGCCCTTAAGCATCAGCCAATCCTCGTTGATCTGCCGAAATGTCGACAGCGCGGGAACCGGGCTAAGCCTTAGGGGAACAAATAGGGGGTGGCCTTGTCAACACATTTCGGCCGCAGGCAACGAAAACAGTGTGCGTCGCAAGCTTGCCTCGGGCACGCACAGGTATGGCATTGCTTCGTGTGAGGTGTTCGAGAAACAAGGGGAAGGAAAACTCTCTCGTAACACCGTCTGGGCGGTCTAATGCTACCCACGACAAGGAGGTGGTCCCTCCTTCCGACGGTATTGGGAGACAACGAATACAGGACACCAACGCGAACAAGTAAAACATCAGTGTAGTCAAATAAAACAGCCGTAAAGCGACCCTGCCCCATGAACTCATGACAACTAGATGAAAACGAAAATGTCCAGCAGCGTAAGGCCAAGCACATCCGCGCCGAAGCTCCGGCTCGGTGAGTGTGTAAAGCTGGCGTGATTTTTATCTGGGCAACCGGTTTCTGCGTTCCACCCGAAGGCTTTCGACTGAACCGAAAAAAAGGCGCGAAACCTGTCAAGGACAAAGGGCGCGTGCCGTGAAGCTGCCGTGACCTGGAACTGTCTGAATCATCAAGACGACAACTACGCTTTGAGGAAGGGTATTAGAACGTAAGCGATTGGGCGTGACCGTCAACAGGCAGCTTCCGCATCGCTCAGACTGATACCGCCACTGTCGCCAGAGTCGATCAAGGTTCCCTGCCTCCTTAGTTTTTCGGGTGTCTCGCGGGTGTCTCGGGGATGGATGACTGCGGTGCAAAGCACAAACTGCACTTGGTCGTGACAACTCCGTCTTACTGTCCCCTTCATTTTCCGGGGAGCCACATACGAAAGGCATAACGATAAGTGTAAGCCCGCTCAATAGCAGGGGATCGACAGCAGGAAAACTCAAAATGTCCAACCAACTAATTGAGGCTATGAATCTGAAGAAGACCCACCCGGATACTATGTCCATTCAAGCGAAAGGCCATCTTATATCATGACAGGCGTTTCGTGAAAACAGTCGACCAACAAAGCTCCTGTAGCGTGGACAATCGATGGGCGAAAATGAAGCATGAAGTCTGATCTGATCGTACCTCGCCGTAATGAGGGAATCCACCGAGAGGGGTGATGTGCTTGACCGTAAGGTCAGCCTCCGTGGAGGCGGAAGCGACGTCGCCCTTCTTGCCGATCCGGTAGATCTTCTTGTTGAGCTGCCCAATTAAAAAACAGCACGTGAAGGACCATACATCAGTGGCGGTTACTAATGCCCAAGCTAGCGCGAACAAATTTGCTACGAGACAAAAGGTGTCGAGACAGCAAGAAACCGCGGTGCCACAGAAAAGAATGAACAACGTCAACCAGTATGCAAGAAGGCGTCACTACAGGTGCCACAAGGCATCGAGAGAGAACAGACGGGTCCTTGAGTTTACCAAAGAGTCCGTCTCTCAACCGGACCACATCCTCTACAACTCCAGGCAAGAGGAGGGGAGCACCACACGAGGGGGTTATAACCACAAACTCAAAAAACAAACTCACTTCGGTACGGTGGTGGTATCCGTGCTGACCGGCGCGGGCGACGGAGAAGCTGACGCGGGCAGGGTGCCACGCACCGATGCAGGCCACCTTGCGGAGACCGCGGTGGGTCTTGCGGGGAAGACGGGTCACACCCCAACGAGTCACCACACCCTCCGTACCGTGACCCTTGGAGGCTCCAAGCACGTCGATACACTCATCCTGCGCACAAGTGAAACAGGGAAAAAACGGGCCAATTCGAACATGGGGTATGCGTCCCTCCCGCCGGGAAGGGTGTGCTACGCGACAACACCAATTCTTCGATGGGGAAATAGCGACGCTCACCCAAAGGAAACACGAACAAAAAGACTATGAAGCGGCACAGGAAAAACGAGAAATACACGACAGGGCCAACTCGGGATGTTTCGCGCGGTGCCGCGAAGGGCGACCATTGATTTCAAAATGTCCAGCAGTGTAAGGCCAAGCATATCCGCGCCGAAGCTCCGGCTCGGTGAGTGTGGAAAGCTGGTGTGATTTTTTATCTGGGCAATGGGTTCAGCTTTCCACCCGAAGGCTTCCGACTGGACCAAAAAAGGGCGCAACCACTGTAGGTGACAGTGGCCGCGCCCCGTGAAACTGCCTCCACAAATTTGTATTCGCACCTACCGCGCAATAAAAAAAACAAAGGCAACGACCGACCATACGAGGTCTTCCTGGTGAAAAGCCAATACCACCGCTGCGGATAGGCGGCCAGTCCCGAGCATACACATCGTCCAACAAGGTTTCACGACTCTTCCCAAGAACATGCCATCATAAAAAACCGTAATACGCCACGCGCAGTGACATGACGAAAACTTTTGGGAACCAGTCCCTCGGCATCTGCATGTTCAGATGGAAAAAAAATCAAGCAGTCCCCAGGATGTTGGTGAGCTTGCGGCTGGGATATGTCCCCCGCCTGAACAGAATCGTTCTTCATTGTGCTCAAACCCACAACCACCCTCAACGTCGCCATCGCTCCGTCCCATCAAGGGCTGGGGTGTTTTTCCCACGAGGACGCCGCGAGCTTCGACCCTATCCTATTGAGTACTAGGGACAAAAAAGCACGTGGGCAAAGTACCGAGAGCCTCCTCTCCTAGTTCAACTGTGTCGAGGCTGAAATCTCATGGCTTTCCCAGCATATCGCTTTAAGCTTTTCAAGAGATTTATCTCGTTTGATTGTAACACATCTGCCAGACGTGCCTGGTCGAGATCCGATTGTGAAAACGCTTTTGCAACCAACCCACCAAACAGTGTGAAACATTATCCGGACCGCGCCTAGAGAAAACGTTTGTGACAAGTTGTGGTTTCGTCTACCAACGAAGGAGGAGCAAAGCGTTCGTGACGCACCTTGGCGAAGACGGCGTCCACGGGCACCTTCTGCTCGAACAAGCCGCGGGCGAAGTCGACCTTAGCGGCCACGTCACCGCCGTTTACCTGGATCTCGCAGATGTGCGCCTTCTTCTGCCTCAGCTTCACAAGGCCGATCTGTATAACAGAATAGGCCGAGGGGGAAAGGGCAAGTTTGAAATCGATTGCAAATGGCAAGCGGCAGCAACGGCAGAAGCAAGACAATGATGACAACAAAACAATAACAAACACCGTTCTGGATTCGTCTTGCAGTTCTCGCCTGAGCATGTAAGTATGACGCTCATGCCCTGCGTGTACAGTTCGGTATATCCAACTGCCACGATAATTTTTACGAATGCGCAATTTCTACGAATGCGCACGACGCTTAACCAAACCCGCACGCGGGTATCGCGGTCACGAAAACGCGCGCTTCGTACCTGGGTGTGGGCGATGACGCGCACGACCTGGGCGTACTGCTTGATGCGGCCGAGCTCGGCGTCGATCTCCTGCGGGGCGTCCGCGAACTTCTTCGCGTACCGGGTGAATGCCTTCTTCTTGGACGTATACCAGTGCTTGTAGAACCTTCGAGCGTTGTCGTAGATGGCGAGGGGGGAAAGGAGTGGGTAGATCAGTTCAAAACTCCGGTGTGGCAAGCAAGGCCAAAATGAAGTTTGAAAGGGTGGGGAACATCGTCCTACAAAGTCGTACATATGCGTACCATGCACCCAAGGTAGCGTGCGATAGTTCTCTGCCGAAAAAAAGAACGACGCGAACATCTTGGGAAACTGTTTGAAACTATAGGGGCCGATCGGTTCTGCCTAAAAAAATACGTCCGTTCGATCAAACTCTCTACATGTCAAGCTCTTTTTCTCTGCCGAATCGACGCTCTTTCGGCGCAACCTTTGACAGACCCCTCACCCACACGCCTACCTCTGTCAGAAAACAAGGGACGCTTTACCTTCAAACATAGTCAGACCAACCACTCCATACTCATCGTTGAACTCGCCTGCCAGACCTGGCAAGTCTTGCACACTTCTAATAAAAGCTATACAACAGCAGCAGTGGTCCTCCCAAGTGCTGAAGCATGGCGCGGGAAGGGAGGGAAAAGAAAACTGTGGGCAAACACAATCTACGATCCACAACTTAAGCGACGTCACTACAAACGAGTCTCCTATTTCCCCCCTGCGCTCTACTACGCTAGAAAGCAGCACCCGGCTCACCTCCTCTTGCACTCGTCCGAGAGGTGGCCCGCCCACACGGTGGTGAGGGTGCGGAGGCCCTTGGGGGTCTCCACGTAGCCTACGACTCCAACGACGACGATGGGGGGAGTCTCGAGGATGGTGACCGCCTCCACGACCTCCTTCTTGTGGACCTTTGATCCAGGGCGGTCCACCTCGCGAGCGATGTGGGTCATGCCCGCCTGTTGGTGAACGAACCCAAGCGTGTGGTTGAGTTGGCGTTGGAAAATATGGAAGGGTTTGCGAGCGGGCGGCAGGCCGTTCGACTAACGTTCCACGCATGTGCGGCACAGAAGTGAATAGCGCCGGTGGCAACCGAGTCCGTGGTGGGAGGTTAACGATATTTTACTTGGCTGACGGGTGCTTCATCAGCGGCAGCCTTTGGAAGCACTTGATTGAGTGTACGAGTAACCTACGCAGGGGCAACGCAGGATGGCATCTGACGTCTACGGCCTATGCATGCCCGGTATTGACGCTGCAATCACCAATTGTTCGGCATATATTCGATACTGCTGTACTGCGGTACTCGGCAACCACCACCACACTCGTCTTTCAACGATTCTCATTCATACAATCTCCGCACTGCAGTTTGAACTATTGAAGGCTTGTCTTGCCAAGATTTCAAAGTAAAGTGTAGTGTGCCGAGGTTGACGACAACGAGGCTCCGTTGGCTACAATGCGATTGCCATCGTGCCCTCCTCCTTCTTGTCTTTCGAGGGCAGCCGCAGCCGCAAAGGTGAAAGTGGTGTTGAATGTCTCACACGTTTTGTCAATGCAAAGAGGGCTGTACAGGTACAGGAGCAACAGGCTCAGCTAAGTCTGCTGGCGTGTACAAGGACCACCGGAAAAAAAAAACTCTCTCATACCTTGTAGGCCATGAAGGCCGTAAGGTGGGGCTCCTTCGCCGCATCATCCTTCGGGAAGGACCGGATGTGTCCGCGGTGCTTCTTCGTGCGCTTCTTAGGGAGGAACCCGAGGGATCCGTTGCGGGGAGCCTCGAACTTACGGTGGGACATGGTGCGTCTGGGTTGTGCTGGGATGGGTGGCGGAGGAAGCGAGAGCACCGGCGTGGGGACGAATTGAAAATTGACACAACAGACAAGGGTGCGTCAGGGATCGGCGAGCGTTTGGCGTGAAACAACGTTTTAACCCCTTGCAAACAGTCCTACCTGCAAATACCTTGGCAACGTGGTCTTTGCCGTTCGTGTTTCATCACGGAGAGCAGGTCATGCCTGCTGTGACCGTGTAGACGGTTGTGGTGCATGCTCGCTAACGCTTTCAACAATAGGAGCAAAGCCACACGATCACGCCCAATGTTTGAAGCTAACGCATTTCCAAGCCAACCATCACCAAGCACAAGCAAACCATCCCTCCCTGCAGCTCCAACGCGTGGTAATCCTTCCACTCACCCTTGTCGGAGCGTGCGTGCTCGTGCAAGTGTGGCAACCTCACGCCCCATGGCTGACAGGAGAGGGCAGGCGAATGGTATTTATAGTTCTGTCAGCATAGGTAGGTATAGTATTTTACGGAGTTCCCGCGAGGGGGGGGGACGATGGACTTTCGAGCCCCTGGCCAATGTCTACCGCCTGCTGATTTCTGACCTTGTGGGTTTGCCGCCCCATGTCGATGTGTTCATCGAAAACACGAACCTTTGTTTCCGTGAAGACCGGACACCGCTGTCTCCTCTCTGTGCCCTTCTCCGCTCAAGAACCCACGCTTGGTTAGGAGACCAAGGATCTCTCCGTTGGGATAAGCTTCAGGGAGAGGGGTGGTTATCTTTCCGCGGCTCCCGCAGCAAAAGTTTTGTGTGTGTCTCCTGGGAAAGGGAAAGGCGCGCGGGAATAGTCGTTGACCAGCAGTCCTCCTCTCACTTGTGATACTGGGAAGAGACGAAGATGGCCACGAAGTGCTCCGATGACTCCGTGTTGGCAGGGCTGTTCCTGGCGGCCTACAGCGGAAACCTAGCGGACGTGAAGTCCACGCTGAAAAACAACGCGCTCTCTGCGGACGTCGCTGACCCAAACAAGGTATGTACGGGATTTGATGATGACATGGTGCCGACAGAAGCAGATGGGAGGGAAGGTATCCAACTTGTTGTGCCACAGCAGTAGTTGTTTTACTTTTCGACTCTCTCTCCTTCCACGCTGCTGATGTGTCACACCGCCGTGCTGTTTACCACGTCAAGAGCAGCAAGGTGGCCTGCTTCACTTCAGACCCAGCTGGATACAGCTTCCAGCTCACGGTCTCTCCTGCGGCGTGGCTTTGATTTCGATTTCGAATGATCGCACACGACCTGCTGCTGCTGGTGCAGCCAAAAAATGTCTTGATCTTATATATGTCGTCCTTTCCGCCGGGAACGGTCGGCCATGATGGCTTCTTGCTTGCATGTCCCTCGCCTGATCAGACCGCTTGTTCTTTCTACCCACCACACTTCCTACCTCTACAAGGCAGAACCCATGACCGGCTCGCTGCTATGTAACGCTTTCAGCAGCCGCCTGTACGGCGTTCTATGCAAGTGAACAGCTGCAAATGAATGAACACACACGAAGGCACCGGGGAACAGATAGATTGTAGCGAACCACCTTTTTTTCACCGCGCTCTGTTGACTGTTGGCGACGGCATTGGGATGTTGTGGTTTCCGAGAAACCAGGGCTCTACGGCCCTGCTTTGGGCGAGCACCGGCGGAAGTCTGGAGGTGGTGGAATGGCTCGTGAAGCAAGCGGGGGCGAACGCGGGACATCGAAACAAGGTACGAGGAGGAGATGCGATGGCCGCCGGGAGGGAGCAATCTTGAATTTCAGTTTCAAATATCAACGCGGGTGGTGTGCTCATGCTGCTGCCGCTCTCAACCAAGAATCAATTTTTCGTTCCTGTATCTGTATTCCCTGACAGTAGGCCACGTGACAGTTGACGCAATCGAAGAGCGTGCGCCTGGGGCGTATGTGTATCGGGGAAGACGACTACGCAAGTAGCTCGGCTTTTCTCTGGTGACATGAGGAGATTCGGGGAGGAAAATTCTTGATGAGCGAGCAATCACCATCACCACGCCACGTAAGACAGCACGTGCCGCCGCGAACAAAATAAAATACAAGGCGTCTTCGTTCGTCTTGATATATTTTGGCAGCAAGCAACAGGCGTTGAAATTCTTCTGGTTTTCCCTTCAAGTTACAATTGTTTGCCACGGGGTCGAATACGAGTACACCACGCTTGCCCTCTTTTTCCAAAATTGGTGACTGAGCAATTTCTCCTGGTAAATTGTTGATGATCGCACGAACGATGGGTGTTTCCTTGTCCACCTGTCGCTGTGTTTGTGTGCGTTTTAATTTCGCAGTTCCATTTTCCCGGAACATTTTTGACAGACGCGCAACAGCGGTCGTGCGCCCTTCTATTAATAGTAGAGCACCTTTAGTATTCCGGAAGTGGGTCTTCCAAAGGAGCAAACGAAGCGGTTCTCAGTGTAAAGCGTGTACAAATATGCTGTCGGTGTCGGCTTCCCTCGCAGACTGAAGAAGGAACGGCCCTCGTGAAGCATTGAAGGTTCCTACTTCGTGTGAAGTGGTGGTGTTGGTTTAGGAAGCTTCTCCTTCCTCGATTGCGCTCTCTCGCCCTCCTTTCTCGCTCACGGCAGTTGTATCGATCATTCGTGTTCTGTAACCGTTGATGTACATCAATCGAGGGGTGAATCTTCCCGTACCACTACCTACGAGTCCGACACGCCGGCGGCACTATGAGGCACCGGCACTTGACCGAGTAGGAAATGAGTAGATTCCATTCCCTAATACGCTAATGATTTCGCAGCCCCCGATCTATTGCTTTGTAGCTCGACTTCTTGGAATCATACGTAACGCGAGAGACGGCCCATCACCCTGCTCGATACAGCAGCAGTTCTAGCCGGTGTTCTCCCAGTTGGGCAAACTTTCGGACCGGTGTTTGTATGCATCTAGTCGGCGCTGCTGCTGCGGCTTCAAGTTCAAACAAATTTTAGTGCTCACAAGCTTATCCCATACGCATGGCACTTCGAAGTACACACGGTAGATGTGAACATATGAACATGTCCTGACGGTTTTGAAGTGCTGACACGCCATTGACCCGACCAATGCCTGGGTCTCGAAAATGTAGTATTTCTGGTATGTCGTTATGCGTTGTCTACTAGAGAAAGACAAAATCCATCTGTTTCGTCGCCGTCTCACTGCAAAGATTAATATTTCTACGCATTCCCTTCGGCTGCTGGGGTGTAATCTGGAATGGTAGTCTCTCTTGGACGATACGATACATTCGGAGAGGCAGGTAGTCTGAAAGGGGCTGTCGAACTCAATGCTGAACTTTGACGATTGAGGACATGGAATTGGTGGCGTTTTTTCTCGTAGCAACCCATCCACACCTTTTTTCGCCTCATCTGTGATGGAGGAGACTTTGTAGCAAGAACATGAAGCGCTTTTCCGGACGTTATTGCAAAACGCCCTGCCGTACGACATCAAACTCGTGAAAACGACGCGCTTTCTTTATACCCAAGCCGTTTTTTTCATATCTTGGTCGCTAGGCACGGCCCGCACGGGGGGCGTGACGGAAGTCCCGAGCTAGGCACTCCTCCCTCGTCCGAAAACGATGGTCAACAGCATGGCAGTTGCGAAAACCTCCGCCTCTTCCTCGAGGCAGACACCCGCTTGTGATGTGGATGGTTTCGAAAGAGCTTTGGAAATCGATCCTGAGGATGTGGTGTCTTGGCTGAAAGTGTAGAGTGTCAGCAGCTCCCATGGGAGTCGTGACAACAATGCGACGTGTAGAACCGGTCTCAACCCGGGGGGGGGGGGGCTGCAAAGGCTATGCGTCCAGTTCGGTCAAGCTTTCGGCGGTCTCCCGAGCCGAGTTGCCAGAACCGTACCGATGCTGCTGCCGTGCAGCTTTTCGGTGCCTCCTACAACACCTTGTTCTCCACGTGACGGACGGTGCCGGTGCCTAAAATTGCTGCTCTCAAGAGTATTCCGTCGCGTCGGTCGTACTTGTATGTCAGATAGCAGTCTGACGGGAACAATGGTGGGGTGGCAAGCCGGGCACTTGCTTGTGGAATGGCCCTCGGGACCATTTTCCATGCACGACTGCCATGGCCGACTCATGCCGATCTAGATGTCGCTGCGTGCCACAAGGCCGCGTGCGTTTTGACGGCCACCCCCACAGCATGTCCTCCTCGCACCCATGAAATCTAATTCTTCACTCGTTTTTCTTTATTTATTTCGCCGCTACCGCCCAACACCTGTGTACGGGTGTTTTTTTTCTTTTGTGATTGCCAGGATGACCGCACGGCCTTCTTCTTCGCATGCGAGCACTGCCACACGCCCGTGGCGAACTTTCTGGTCGGGCAGGCCGGCGTGGAGGTCAACGCCAAGGACAAGCCCTCGGGCCACACGGCCCTTCACCGCGCGTGCATCGCCGGCCAGACCAGGGAAAAGGTGTGCTCAGAGAGGGAAAGATCGATCGTTGTTTTTTTTGCGGACGTCGGTTGGCCCCGACATGCATACCCAGGTTTCCCTACCGGGAGGACATTGTGGCTTCCTCGTGTTTTGCTGGTCTTTTGTGAAGTCTCTTTTGCTGTCGAGGAGTGGCTTGGGTATTTTTCCTCCTCATCTTCTTTCAGGATCCCCCCCGGATCGCGACCTGTCCCAGCATTTTTGCGATTTTCGCGTCTCCACGACTGACGTCTTTTCATTGGTCAACGTGATGGGCGCTACAGTAGCAACAAAGACACGAGACGGAAAAAAGCCGGCGAGTATCTCTTATTTTTGGCTTCCCCGCCCCCTCCCCCTCCCCGGCCAACGCATGCGTATTTTTTGTCGAACCCTTTCCCACCCGCAGGCGCAGGCGACGGAGCTGATCTCGTGGCTGCTGTCATCGGCCAAGGCTGACGCCAAGGCCACCGACCTTGGTGGACGCATGCCGGGAAACGCCGACCTTTCGGCTGAGGCGCCCAGCCTCAAGCCTACGGCCCAAGCCCCCGCCATCGCCAAGTCTCTTGAGGACGCGAGGTCGGGAGGGGGAGTTACGACGCCCGCCGCCGCCGCCCCCGCCCCTGGCGGAGCGCCGGCGGCCGACACGGCCGCTGCGGCTCCCGCGACGGCTCCTGAGACGGAGGCCAAGGCTGCTGCTGCTTCTGTGCCTGTCGCTGCTGCTGAGGCTCCTGCTGATGGTGCCCGCGCCCCCCAGGAGGTCGCGGGCCCGATGCGCCTGCTCCCCAAGCCGTCCGCGTTCCCCACCTCACGCCCGACCACGACGGTGGCTTCCGCCCGGGCTGCGGCCAAGAAGATGGCCTCCCCGACCTCGCCACGCTCGCCTGCAGGTTCCCCTAGGTCTGTGGCGGCTGCCGCCAGTCCCCCGGCGAGAAACCCTGCTCCTGCGTCGCCGTCCGGCGTGGCTTCCCCGCCGGCGGCTGTGGCGGAGAAGGCGGCCGCCAGGCCGTCGTCCCCATCTTCTCCGACGGAGCAGCCGGTCGTGCCGTCCTCGTCGCCAAAGGCGAAACCCTCGCCGGGGGCGGCGGCGGTACCCGCGGCGGTGCCCGCGGTGTCGCCTTCGCCGAAGAGCACGGGTTTGCCCCGCGCCGCCGCCGCCGCTGCGGCTTCGTCCGGGGCGTCGAAGCCACAGTCGCCGCGT